CGTAACCTAACTCCACAAACTTTTCCACAGCCCAATACCCGTGATCCCTTTTCCTGTTTTACGTTGACTTGAAAATTCATGGGTACAAAAACGTTGCTAAACATGTTATTGATAAAACAGACAACGCACGCTCGCAATCAAATTACCGAACGTTTTATGAACCTGCGGCGCCTTGACTTGCACGTATTTTTGGCTGAACAAACTTCTCAAGGCATAACTCCATGCTAAAACCGAGAAAATGGTAGCAACATTTTAACAAGAGAAAAAGATAAGGTATGACTTGTGGTATATGAAGGCAAGTCACTCACTGTGGCATCTTAGATGTGCTCTTTTGTAACAAAAGTGTATAAATATTGTAAGTATATCAAAATGAATGGATGAACGTCACCTGCTCTTCAACTTACTGAGGTAATATTTAGTGGATTCCAAGACGGCTAAAAAGGCCAAATTTGACAGTTAAGTACCTACCTATTGAAAAAATTGGTTTTCAGGGAAATATTGCCAAGCATATTAGGGCAATTTTTCAAAAAATTTGAAAGTGTCTCGGAATTTATAGGCAACCAAATTTTTTATACAATTTTATTCTAAAGTCAAAAGTGTAAGTATTTGTTGCAAATAAAATTTAATGCTCTTTTTAAGGAGTACTTAGGTCAACTTTTCACGTCGTGTAAGTAAAGTTGCTAACTTCTGGCTCTACATTGTCGCGCGACCCGAGCACACGGGTCAAGTATCAAAGTTACCGTCCCGCCGGTGCATGAGTATTTTATAACACACATTGAATCCGAGCTGCTCCCTAGCTGCAATCGATGGCATGCATTCCAGCTTTTGAAACTGAATACTGCCTTTAAACCAGTTTTGCTGAACACCATGAATTATTACCGAAATTAGAACCTAAATAATGTTATTGACGTTATCAGAATCCACACAGACGAAGCTACCAGTACCCAGTTTGATATTAAAAACAGTTATTTGAGAAAGGCCCATCTCTTATACATTATTTTATTACGGCGCACGTAAGACTTTGAACTTTTACGCCACCACAAAAAGCAAATTAGGTAATGTACAGAGCATCGCGGTGGCCAGGCCAATTCTCGAGCTGTAGCGGTGATATTTTGAAATCTAACGACTGTTTGAACTGTTGTTTGACTCGTACTTTGGTGCATTTACCAATAGGTATTTTGGTGCTTCTCGGTTTGGTAGAAAGTAAACTTTTGAATTACTTTACATTTTAAGGCGTTCTTCTAAAATTAAACTATTACTCACATAAAATCTTAATCGGTTCCTTTACCTACTACAAGTCAATATGATCGAAGTACAGGTAAAGTTCTGACTCTGGTATTTTTTGTGGACTCATCATCATATAAACTATAAACTCTATGCTATAATAATTAAGCACCAAATTAAACAAATATTAAGTCGATCAAATCTATCTTATTCCAGTTACCCTGTTTATTTGTACAGTCATTAACAACAAATGAATATGACATTAGTTGAAGAGCTTTACAAGTCGTTTGCGTACGAATCTAAATAATAAATGAGTCATTCAAATTCAAAGGGAGCAAGCTAAGTTTCTGCTTTCAGTGTTACGTTTTGACAAAGGGTACTCCTGAATGAGGGGGATGATGTTCGGTATTGAGATTTAGTTTAAATTTTCATCGCTCTGTCTGTATTTAAGCATCGGTAATAACTAGGTAAGTACTACAGTTTTGTATTTGTTTAGGCTTCTGTTTTATCGTCATTTGTTTTTAAATATTTTATTGTACAGTAACTATGGTACCTACTTACAAGATTAGCTTATTTTCAGTCATTAATGTCCGTTTTCACCATCAATTTCTAATTTTTAAAAGACCCCTATGGTAACACATAACAGGAATTTTGTTTTCATAGGGGTCACTTAAAAATTAGGGATTGATGGTGAAAACTAGCATTAGTCTGGGTGTGCGGTGTGTAGATAAATCACCTAAAGGAAGAATATAAGTATTAGATCGGCACTAAAAACTAAGGATAAAATGCCAGTCTCACAATCCCAACTAATATTATAAATGCGAAAGTAACTCTGTCTGTCTGTCTGTCTGTCTGTCTGTCTGTCTGTTACGCTTTCCCGCTTAAACCTCGCAACCGATTTTGATTAAATTTGGCATAGAGATAGTTTGAGTCCCGGGAAAGAACATAGGATAGTTTTTATCCCGGTTTTTGAAACAGGGACGCGCGCGATAAAGTTTTTCTGTGACAGACAAAATTCCACGCGGGCAAAGCCGCGGGCGGAAAGCTAGTATTTTATAATAGTTACTGTAACTTATGAATTTCCTTTGTTCGCGTGTCAATCGATTGCGTTTCCCGATCGATACAGACAGCGTGCATAAATCATAATCGAGCTATTTCCGCGCCTGAAAACTGTATGTTCAAAAGTGCCGCAAATCACGCCACCGTGTCTAGGGCATGAATCCCTAATACGTTACACGTATGTATATCAAGCTGTACGATAATCTCTCTAAAATAAGCCTTATTTTCATTACTGCAAGGAACAAATAGAGCGACAGTGTAAAAAAAATTGTCGACGATCGATAAAATATGTCGAAGTAGCGTCATCGAAAACAGGGATTTAATAGAAACAAGAAACCGTACAATATTAAGAGATTCGTACAATATTCGTTGGAATACAAATACAAATAATATAAAACATATTTACCTATGTAAATATGTTTTATATTATTTGTTTATCCCATGCTTTCCCTACAATGAATTTAGGTAGGAGATTGCCAAAAAATAGGACAAAAAAATAATTTAAAGGTCAAACAGACTTCGAGCTTTTTTCCCGGAATCCACCCGAGCCCCTTTTTCGGCAACACGTTAAAACTGCATTTGCCCCGCTGTCCCATTTTAAACAATTCTGTATAAATTAGCTGACAAATTAGGGGTCCGTCCCGCGGGCCTTGTGCGCGCCTTCAGGGGTCAAGACGGGTTGAAATATTTTGCAATTACTTCCACTGTGTAATTTTTAAGAGAAAAAAAGAAAGTAATTACGTATTTTCAAAATGAGTTTGGTTACTACATTATTTAAAACGAAGATGGATGTTTTTATTTTAATTTGTAAAAATATAATCTCTTATCATGATTTTTTGTGTGTGGTAAGTAAATATGGTAGGTACCCCAACTGTTTCATTTACAATATTTATGTAGTAATACTTTGATAGTGAATAAATCCACAAAATGTGTGGGCTGTTTCGACAAAAGGCAGAATATAAATGTAATATGTATATATACATTATTATCTACTCGTCCTTACATTGAAAACTTATTTCTCAACGCTCCTCGACATAATGGCACCCATTATTTACGCTGAAGACGAATGTACAATACACTCAGATTCCGATTTATATATTTGCTTACACGCACAACGTACAAAAGTGTTTTTCCCAAACTAAAAATAGAGCATGAAGCATTTAACATCCAGACAGCGAGAATTTACGTAATCAGTGTTGTTTTATGTTTTGTTTTAAGTGATAAATTACAAAATATTCAAAAGTTAATGACAGGATAAGAACTTTTTTCTATCTTAGAATATTGATAAGTATTTTGGGCTATTAGTAATAATTACTAATTCCAACTTCACAATACCCAAATGGAATTCATCCCTAATAAAAGATGTGTGCTTGTAGTCCCAAAATATGGTACTAAGCGTTTCGACGATTCGTTTATAATGCGAACAGCTAGGGACTGGAATTCGCTGCCTGCTGCTGTCTTTCCTGAACACTATAATCCGGGCGTTTTCAAGGCGAGAGTGAATAGGCACTTACAGGGCTGTACCATCCTAGACTGCATCTCACTTAACACCAGGTGCGATTGCGGTCAAATACCTGCCTTGGCTAGCATAAAAAAAAATGATTCTAATGTGTAATTTTGTTTATGTCCAAGTACCTTCTAACTCTCGTAATCACCACGCAGACATTAGCCTCTTACGAGACGCCGGAAATTGGCTTTGCTTTCATAAACGGCTGTAAGTTTTACAAAATTTCATATCCACGCTACGTAAAAACGCCATTCCCTTGCTTGCACGGGAATTTAATATAAAAGCAGCATTGTGAAAGAAAGCCAGCATCAGATAACGAAGATCTTTCATCCTGGGGCATGTCGTTAGGGCTGCGCACTTCCTTTGCGGATAATCATCTTATTGTACTAGCGATCCGACCTGGCTTTGCACGCCCAATAGGCGCACAAAAATAATGACGAAAACCTTAAGTTATTAAAAACTTAAGGAAAATTAATATAAGTATATAGTGAATAATTCAATTGCTGTTAATTATAAGAAATATCAAAATAAATAGATCAATTTTAAATAAAACTACTACTACTTATTGTTATGAGGAAACGAGAATGCCATGATCACATGAAATTACTTCAAAATTAAGGAGGAAACTAATAAATCTGGAAGCTTACTTGTAAAATTTAAAGGTAATAAATAGGTAAATACAATTTTCTATAATATAATCAATTATTATTTGAAAATGCCATATTTATAATAGGTATTAGCTGCTTAAACGATACCTTACGTTTACAATTTTTTGAATCCTATTTTAAAAGTCAAACATTTGTAAAAAGCTTTTTCTTCAATGATACCTAATTTGGTTTTATGTTATTATTCATTCATCTCACTTTTCAGAAAAATGGTCAGTTGGTTATATGTCATAACAAAGCTTCATTTAAGCTAAAATAATCATAAAATATTTGAACCACACCACAATCTAAATCAAATTCTTTTACCAATAACTGTCTAAAATATGACTTCTAATTACGCGCATATCTACCCCATCTAACACCTTAAAACATAAAAACTAGCAAGAACACAAATAAAGAAAAACAACCTAATCTAACGCCATAATTAAACCGTCATATTAACGCTTCAACTTGCATTCATTTACATCCATTAAAACTCTCATTTGTTTACCCACAATAAAAGACGTTGGAGCATTTAAAAAACAAAGTTCCAAATTCAAACTCACCTCCAACTCCAACCGGCCAATCACTAAACAGTTCACTCAATCATCCGAAACTTCACTTCGAATTTCGAACACGCGCGGGGGACGTGCGGCGAAATCGCCCACCCCTGGCAGAGTCCGGAGGCCTACTGCAGAATGAGGATCCGAGTAGCATCCCGCATGATTCGGCGCGCAGGCGCCGTGGAGGATGAGACGTCAGCTGACGGGCGGCACCTAACCAAAGGTCAGTGTGTCAGTTGAGCCTTCTTTAATCGCAAAGTGCAGGTAGGACGACGACCCCCACTATTAGCATTCGCGTGCGACTTCCAAGTTCACTTGGATACCAAGTAAAGGAAATTAAGCTAATTTGAAAACGGCTCGGATAGACATCGTATTTAAGGGTTAAAAGCATTTTTATGCACTTCAAACTACTTTTATAACTTTAACTTGATTTGGCTTTTAACGTCTGAAAAGTTTTGAATTGTAAAACCTATTTTGCAATAAGTATTTATGAAATTGTAAATTTAAATTGTGTAAATAGAAATAGAAGTTGGGTGTATTAAATGTAAATCAACTGAAGCTAGTTCAGAACTTTAAACTTTTGCTAAGCAAAAAGTTTGGACTTCGCTCTATCAATGCGCAAATCCTGCCCGCAGGGCTGTGACTTCAGTATCGTTTTTCATAGCCAACTTCATCTTAGGATTTTTCCCGTTACGACGAAAAAGCAGCCACGAAAGTCAAGATTTCTAAAGCTTAACAAATTCCAATATGTTTCTTAAATTTCTGTCACACATCGTGTTAATGGAAAAGCATTCCAAAAAGGCCTACTCAAATTGGAAATCCGATAGGCTTACTCATCAGGCCGAAGCCTCTTCGGGCCGATAATGCGGGGCTCCGGCATTTAGCTGCGTTTTATAACTGCAGCCGCTCATCCGCAGCCGTGATTGAATACAGCCTACAGCCTCCCTAATTATTGCTAAGGATGCTATTGGCAACGGGGATAGGCCACAGTATAGGATATTAGCAGTAAGTAATGAATTTCCGACTCATTGGATCAAAAATCCAATGAGTCCATCAGGCAGGACTGTACTTTTTTGTACAAATAAAATTAATTGATACCTAGTACTATGCTCTTTTACTCGTACACTATGACTGAAGCTCGGTGGTCGAGATGGTCGTAAACCAGCGTCGGTTTACTGCCCCATCGAGATTTCTTTCCGATCTCGTTCCGGCGCCGATATGTTTACGTTTAATGCCTCGGGTTTATGGCACACGTCTTAATTATAGATCGCGATAGCCGGCCTAAGGAGTAAAGGATACTGGGATTAGATTGGCGAATCTATACAATGTTTAGGGCCAATTATAGCTAAGTATACTTACGAGCAAAAGTATGGAATCATCCCCTTGTGTTTTGTGCCGAGCGATCTTTAGAACTGAATGACTATGTATGTATCTGTGGTATCAATTTAGAGATTATTATAATATTACCTTTAAAATGGTACCATTTTTATTTGTATTCTATTAGTTATTTAGTTTTTGTGATTGCTCGAAACAAACAGGGTGATACCATATTTTTGCTCGCGAGTGTAGATAGACTTGTAATTGAGTTACCATTTTTGGGATACTAATTGAGTGCATCAATTTTACAATATGTGTAGGAAGTCCGAAAACTGTATAATCAAGATTAGGTATCCAATTTAGCTCCGAGATAGCCTGAGCTCCGATTACAGCCAGGCACAACATTAAAATAATACAAAAATAACAAAAACGGGCTTACAAACAACAGACATTTTCACCCATTATTATTGTTAAAATTCACCTTATGCCTACAAGTTCGAATAAATGTATTAGTTATTATTACTGACGGGGATGCTACCATGTACCTTTGAGACCATGAAAGTTTAAAACAATATAATGTATTAGTTGGACCGAAGAGGTCTAGTTCCTTACTTACATTATTGTATGATCTGCACATTCGGTATATAGGGTCATTATTATGGAACTAATGGATAAGTTCCCTTGAAAACCAAATGTTCTTCATAAAAAAACTGCTGGCTTATTTTAGTCTAAAATCCTTTATCAGAATAGTAAGAGCAAAGTATCACAGAAAATGTCTATACATTCTNCACATTTCTTCCATAAAGCCTTAAAATTAGCAACAAAACAACAAGGACAGAAACGTAGCAGCTAATGAAACGTGCTAACGCCTCCATAACGCCGCGTTGACACTGCGTTTAATGAAAAATTTCATAACCCGCGCCTGTGTGGCGGAGCCGGCCGTTAGCCCGCTGTAATTGTAACTTTGTTAACCTCTGTTTTATTTTGCTATTTCATATTGTTGACGGTTAAATGTTTTTCCACGAACTTTCGGAAGTAGCAGTTACATTATGAAACCATACCAGTTATTGTTTTGAGGCATATGATTTATTTTTCGCGGTAGAATTGTTACTATACAATAAATTCATCCCAATGCAATATCATAAGTACCTTTTTAACGCAAACTATAAATGCTCGTAATCTTATCTCACACATGACTTAGAGACTTGCTCAACATTATTGGAAGATGCAACTCATTCAAATGTAGCTTGCGATAGTTATCACACATTCCACTAGAATGCAGCGATGCTCGCCGATCTGCCAGGAACCCCACTGTGTGCGCTGAAACGTTGCCCGAGTGTTTTCTTGCATCTCATGAATTTCAGATGCTGGCGTTAGGAGATTACAGACAGCGCTGATGGAATAACTGTTAGTTTAGCGTTGAGTTCGTTAATTGCATTTGGTTTAATTCCCCTTTGTTCAGCCAGATTAGTTATTTTCATCTTGGTAAGTGGCTGACCTCCGCCTTGTTTCACCTCCTGTCCAATCACATAAGTTTATTTTAGTAAAATACCATAATAATGTTCTGCGCATGAATACAAATTAATGCTTTGTCCAAAAAAGGACGTCACTTGGCTCAAACGAATATGTGATGTAAAGGCCTAAGTAATAATCTTCACTTCACATAGAGTTTCTATTTTCTCTTAAACAGCAGCGCGCCTGACAGGCTGCCTTTAAACACCGCGACAGTGAAGGCTTAATCCCGCAAAGCTACTCGCATTGGCGCCTAAGCCGGCCTAATAGCTGGCACACTCGTTCGGCCGTGAGCCTTAAGGTGTAGTTTCGATGTAAGCGACAGGTATTTGTATGAAGTGGTAGCAACAGTTTATTCTTCCCAGTCGGTACACTCTTGTCAGAGTGGTCGTGATCATCATTTTGAATCACGATTCAGAGTGATGTTCCTCGTAATACGGCGTCATTCCTCGCGGACTGCAGCTTTCCGGGTACCGGGTACCCGGTTTCCGGGTAGCAACAGTTTATAGCGATGTCAAGTCTCATGGACCGCAAGCGTAGCTACTACTTATCGTGAGACCCATTGTGGCTAGAATCTGGTTGACATATTTTTCGTTCATGCATATCCCGAGACCAGACGAGCATGATACTGAGAATTCCTCCGCATGACAACGAATAAGCTAACCTAATTTTGGCTAACTTTAATAAACTAGGTAGCCGTAAGTCTTGTTGCACATCTGGTATCTACCAGTAGTTCCCCTTGCAAGATTAGCCATGCCGTCACTCCCTGTCGTCAGTGCTTACACCGCACCTTTGCCGCGAGCCTCACGCGTCGTTGTCGGTAACAAGCCACTCGGAACCACCATCGCTCGAGGACACTTGCGTATGCGAAATCGTCACCTGACGTGTCGCGGATAATGAGCTGGTGCTAGACTTTATAAGGGTCTAAGCATGAGGGCTAAACGCCTTTAAAAAGAAGTGAGACCTAAATACTTTAAAATTGCCTTTTAGTACGTATTCTGGGCAACCGAAAGCTATAAATTACGGCTATACCCGAGTAATTCATTAAACCTGAGTAAATCTGCGATACAAAAGATTTACTGCACTGCACCATCCACTGACAGCCAATTAAATTACATGCCTTTTGGATGAATTCCACGATCCGTAAAAATATTAAAAACTTCTTATACTTAATGTGAAAAGTGCAATAAATTATAAAGAGAACACTCAAATTAACTATTCGTAAATTCTTGTGAATACGAATGTAAGCTAAGAATTTTCTCTCCATAAAAAGAGAATATCTTTTCATTTGATTTTATTGCTGTACATTCAGCAAATAAAACAGAAGCAATGCACCTTTGTGCTTGCCAAAAGAACTAACTGAACCGATAACAAATACCCTAGATTCAATTTGTGGTATTAGCTTTTAAGATGCACGAGGAGTTGCATCAGTAAGAAACTGTATCGGCATCCAGCACTCGGAGGTATGTAAATAGAAATAGCTGGTCAAATGCGCGTGAAGTTTCGCTTTGAAACGGTTCCGTAGAATGCATCCAATCCGTATTTTATTGCTTGAAACTATTCAGGGTTATGTGCCCGTTCCACTATCGTAAATGTCTGTTTATCTTCAAAACAGTCAGTAAATTCTTTTAACAAATTGTAAACATTTAAACGATTTATCCGCTACTTTTGCAAAGAGTATAATTTACCCATCAAAAACAATACTTGTCAAAAAAACCAAGTCTCGCAACTCAGTTGTTCTACGGTAAAAAGTTGTGAGATCCATGTAATACCAAGTCCAGGCCAGGAAATCTTTAACGTTTTACATAAATATATTGACTTGGCCATCGCATGAAAGCACGTGTAAATTAAATTATTTAGTGCGATGGCCAAGTCAATAATTTATGTAAAACGTTAAAGATTTCCTGGCCTGGACTTGGTATTACATGGATCTCACAACTTTTTACCGTAGAACAACTGAGTTGCGAGACTTGGTTTTTTTGACAAGTATTGTTTTTGATGGGATCTCATTTCTTTTTGTATTTTGTAGACAGCAGTTATGTATCTAGAAAACTGGACCGAAATTGAAAAATTTTACTCGACTTGGCGGTTGCACTACCGTGCCCCCAAATATTTTAGTTTTTCCTTGATTCATACACCAAACACTACTTATATTCCAAATTTGAAGCTTCTAGGTCTGCTAGAAGTGCCTTAGAGTTTTGATGATCGGTGAGTCAGTGAGTCAGTGAGTCAGTGAGTGAGTGAGTGACAAAATTAAGTAACTTTGACCCGTTATAATTCTTAAAC